TAAAAGGGTCTCGTTCAAGGGTGGACTGACCATTTGGAAACTCGGGCACTGCCCGAGGGCCCGGGGTCAGTAGGAGGCCCCATGAGATGCCCCTGTTACCTTTTTCATAGGCTTTTTTGAGTTTGGGCAAGGACACAGGGCCCCATGATCCCCTATTGCCCAGGGGCCCCATGAGTTGTCAGTTTGCCCCTGGTCTCATTTGACCGACAGTATTGCAATGGGGAGGATAATCTTTGCAGCACCACAATGTGAAGCATCACGGCTACTATCTGCTACCTTTGTAGCGTAAGGAGCAGCTCAGCCTGGTTGCATGTTTTTACCTCCCCCCCAACTGCAATTGTAAACATAGTCTTACTGTCATGCAAGAGCAGACACACTCAGACTGCCAGGGGAGACATTGGGATGAAAAAGACATAAATATACATAATTGTACCAGTCTGGCTGAGAAGGACACAGTGTGAACAGTGCAGGCATTGCAGATACAACAAAGGGCAGAGAGGTGACAGAAGCCCATCTGAATGGAAAATGCCTGGAGACAAAGAACACAATAGACTCTAGGGGAGCACAGAGCACACGCTGCCCCCCCCCAGCATTGTATTACTGCCAGCAGAGAGATCACACAGGCGGAGATGTTGTGCCGAGGATGATTTCTAGTAGTGATGTGCGGACAATCTAACAGTCTTTAGTAATAGCTCAAATATCATTTAAGGAGAACCTTCTGTTCAGTTGTATCAGACTACACATGCTAGATCTCCCCAACCATCCAATGTGCTGAGTGCTGGTAACCCGTGAGACAAGCAGCACTAGCAGGGTCTGCCTCCACCACTTTCCCTATGCCCTATCTATATCAACGTTCCGAGCTGCCAGTGCGGCCTTTGTGTCTCTACAACTTGTAATTGCCAGCTCTTATGCAGGCCATAGACGGATCGAAAACTGGCTGTTTTTAACCTCCCTAGCGGTATTCCCGAGTGTAGCTCGGGGTAAAATGTCAGTACCAAAAGCGGTAACCACGAGCTACACTCGGGCTTACCATGCGGAGCTGCATAGGGAGTCCCTGCAGAGCTTACCTTGTCCTTGTCTCCCGCGATGTGTCCCCTGCAGCGTCCCCGGCCATCTCCTCCGGACGATGCCGGCATCCGCCTCCTGTGTTCCGGTCCCTGTGACGTCGGGACGTACGGGCGGCGCCGGCGGCGGGAGATTTGAAAATTTTAAAAAATGTCATTTTTTTTCAAAACGATTTTACATAGTAAAACATTGCTGTTTCAACCCATTTCACATACATTTTGTCCCGAGTGCTTTGTCCTGTGCCCTGTCTGCATTTTGACTGTTCTTTCTGCCTGGAAACTGAGAAACGTCCATGGCGTCCAAAAAGCATCCCTTTAGGTCAAAAGCGGGTTTAGATCAGCTAGAGAACAGCGATAGTAAATCAGAACCACTTGCAGAATTGAGTGATAATGATTCGTGGGGGAAATTCGTCATCAGACACTGAAAACGATTTTGCGACTTTGCTCAGCGATGTGCGAACTTGGCGCTATATTTCAAATTTCAGTGTTTTTGGTTTGATTATATTATTGAATTAAATGTATGATTTAGACTCTTGTTCGGACAGATTTCAGTGAGTTATTCCTAAAAATTACAGCCTACAATAAAAAAACTACATATTTCCATGCAAAATAATGGTACCGCTTTCAGCACCAAAAATATGAAATAATTATACCACCGAGGAGGTTAAAAAAAAAAAGTTTGGAAGAAGACATTCGTTCCTGTAGTACAGCTATAGTAAGCGTGTCCTCCTGTTCATTCATAGTTCTGGAGTACCCCATCCAGTTCCCTATACCTACCCAAGTTACCCCAAAAACAGTAAATACCTCTAGACTGTTCATTGAGCCAATTGGAGTGACTGTTGCTGTTTGCCTGGCTGCCCCTGCACTAATCTGGAAAGAACCTTAGGACCAAATCAGCGGGCCCTTTAGGGGGTGAGCACTACATCTGCTCATGGATACATCTGCCTATAAGTGAGTCATGTCAACGCTTAAACAGTGTCACTATCGGAAAATTCCCCTTCTGTTCCTGTTCTGGTGACAACTGAAATTTTCTCTCTTTTATTCCTAGTGATATTTATCCTCAGGTTAACTTTTCTAGATACAGAAAGGAAAACGTAGATGACTCATCACATGATACAAAACTAAAGAAAAAAAGGTTTCATTTTTTTTTTTTTTTTTTAATATCTTTTATTACATTTTATTTCAATACATAAGTCAGCAATATACAATTATCTAAACTCAAACAATCCAACTAACTTTTTTTACCCCTCCTTCCATCCTTCCTTATCCCTCCCTCTCTAATAAATTACCCGTCCAAATACTTCTTTCCATTTCTTTCCTGACCTGTTTACCAATCACAGTCTAAGGCCCCAAGTACACGGGACATTTCTGAATGATTGAAACTGACTGCTGGAAAACGTAGGTTAAAAAACATCTGTTTAGCCGCGTTTTGATAATGCGTTTATGCGCATTTGTGTTTAGAAACGTTTTTTAAAGATAAGCACAAGAGAACCTCCCAAATGCCCAGAATGCACTGAAAAGTGGTAAATTATTAACTATTTCAGACAGTTTCAGAGAAATACAGAGAGTAGAAGCAGAGACAGCAGTATGTGTTGAGATAATTAGGTGTGAGTTACTCAGTAGCCTCCCTGGCGGTATTCCCGAGTGTAGCTCGGGGTAAAGTTTAAGTACCACAAGCGGTAACCCCGAGCTACACTCGGGAATATCATGCAGCGTTGCTCCGGGATCTGTTCTTCTCTTACCTTGTCCTTTGCTCCCGCGATGTCCCTACTGCAGTATCCCCTGTAATGTCCTCCGGCCGATGCCGGCATCTGTCTTCTGGGTTCCGTCCCCTGCTAGTGTCCGGATGTACGGGGGGACGGAACGGCGGGAAATTTGAAAATGACAAAAAGTGACATTCACTAAATTATTAAAATCACATAGTAAAACATTCCTGTATCAACCCATTTCACATACATTTTGTCCCGAGTGCTTTGTCCTGTGCCCTGCCTGCATTTTTACTGTTCTTTCTGCCTGGAAACTGAGAAACGTCCATGGCGTCCAAAAAGCGTCCCTTTAGGTCAAAAGCGGGTTTAGATCAGCTAGAGAACAGCGATAGTAAATCAGAACCACTTGCAGAATTGAGTGATAATGATTCGTGGGGGAAATTCGTCATCAGACACTGAAAACGATTTTGCGACTTTGCTCAGCGATGTGCGAACTTGGCGCTATATTTCAAATTTCAGTGTTTTTGGTTTGATTATATTATTGAATTAAATGTATGATTTAGACTCTTGTTCGGACAGATTTCAGTGAGTTATTCCTAAAAATTACAGCCTACAATAAAAAAACTACATATTTCCATGCAAAATAATGGTACCGCTTTCAGCACCAAAAATATGAAATAATTATACCACCGAGGAGGTTAAAAAAAACAACAAAAAAAAATCAGTCGTTCAATAGGTCGACGTTACCACCAACAGTAAAAAAAAAAAAATCGTCCGATGGCCGGCATTTAATTACTTCTGTCCCTGCAGACAGCTCCACTATTATATTTGACATGAAAAAGTCTTGCGGTTGCAGCAATGTATCTATTTGTATCCATTTCAGATACAGATGGTTTTATTTGGATACAAATAGATACATTGTTGCAACCGCAAGACTTTTTCATGTCAAATATAATAGCGGGCTGGAATTCTTCTTCTTTTTCTTCTTCTTCTTTTTCTTCCTCTTGCAGGTCACTGCTCATGCGCAGATTTTTTATTGGTAAAAAGATTGGCCGATTTGCCCATCATTGCCAGCAAAATCGGGCGATCGGCAAAATCGGCCAATTTTTTTCCAACTTCACCGATAAAAAAAAATGTGCCAAAATCCCATAAAACGGCTAACAGTGTGAAAATCGGCCGATTTTTTTTTCGGCTGAAAAATCGGCCGATTTTCGACCCATCTATTGCCTGCATTAGGCTCCATTCACATCTGAGCGTAGCTTTTTTTGTGGCGCATATTTTACCGTGATATTTGCACATTTATACAGCATTTTTAGCCATGTTTGAGCTTTGGCATTTTTTTTTTAGCCAACAAACAAAAATATCATCTGTCGCATCATTTGTTGCTAGGTTTGTCTGCTTCAGCTTTGCCATCAGCTTTTCTTTCTTTTTCTTTTTTTATTGATATTAGGGTAAGGAGTTAGAATTAAGGTTAGGGTTAGGATTAGGGGTTTGGGTTGGGACTAGTATTTTATTTATTATTTTCTTATTATTTATTTATTGTTAGGGTGATAATAATAATAAATTAATAAATAAATGTAAAATAAATGCACAGGTAAATAAAAATAATCATAAATAAATATGTGTACTATCTCCTGATAAGACATATCGTGTGGAGACACTGCACATGCTCAGTTTGGTGTGTATTGCTAGAGAGGTTTATTTTTTTTTTCTCTCGGGAGAGTGCATGTCATCAGCACAGGACCAATCAGCACTGTCATGAAAGAGGTCATTGGTTCTGCATCCTCCTAGAGCAGAAAGAAAACTCCTCCTGCAAGTTTTAACCAGTGCTCTGTTGGACACTGATAGCAGTCACAAGACTGCTCTAACTGCTGATGGGAAAAGGTATTTAGCAATTTATATTTACTAAAATAATTGCACTTCCATGTTCTGTGTACTGTGGGAGACCAGATATAGTGAATTCAGGGTCCAGGGAGACCAGATATAGTGAATGCAGGGTCTGGGGAGAGCGGATATAGTGAATGCAGGGTCCGGGGAGACCAGATATAGTGAATGCAGGGTCCAGAGAGAGAGGATATAATGAATGTAGGGTCCGGGGAGACCAGATATAGTGAATGCAGGGTCCGTGGAGACCAGATATAGTGAATGCAGGGTCCAGGGAGACCAGATATAGTGAATGCAGGGTCCTGGGAGACCAGATATAGTGAATGCAGGGTCCGGGGAGACCAGATATAGTGAATGCAGGGTCTGGGGAGACCAGATATAGTGAGTGCAGGGTCTGGGGAGAACGGATATAGTGAATGCAGGGTCCTGGGAGACCAGATATAGTGAATGCAGGGTCCGGGGAGACCAGATATAGTGAATGCAGGGTCTGGGGAAACCAGATATAGTGAATGCAGGGGGCGGGGAGACCAGATATAGTGAATGCAGGGTCCGAGGAGACCAGATATAGTGAATGCAGGGTCCTGGGAGACCAGATATAGTGAATGCAGGGTCCGGGGAGACCAGATATTGTGAATGCAGGGTCCGGGGAGACCAGATATAGTGAATGCAGGGTCCGGGGAGACCAGATATAGTGAATGCAGGGTCCTGGGAGATCAGATATAGTGAATGCAGGGTCCTGGGAGACCAAATATAGTGAATGCAGGGTCCGGGGAGACCGGATATAGTGAATGCAGGGTCCGGGGAGACCGGACATAGTGAATGCAGGGTCCTGGGAGACCAGATATAGTGAATGCAGGGTCCGGGGAGACCAGATATAGTGAATGCAGGGTCCTGGGAGACCAGATATAGTGAATGCAGGGTCCGGGGAGACCAGATATAGTGAATGCAGGGTCCTGGGAGACCAGATATAGTGAATGCAGGGTCCTGGGAGACCAGATATAGTGAATGCAGGGTCCTGGGTTTAGTAACACTTTAAAAATTAACAAAATCACAATTACGGTTGGTAGTGCTCAGATGCAGTGAAGTTCCACTTTAAACTACTGGGCCATGGAGCAATAAACAAATCTGCATCTAACACCCCATAATCAACCAAGCTTCCTCCAGAGGTTACTAGAGGTTCCCTCAGCAATCAGCCACTTTCGCCTCTCAGATACGTTCCCACTGACACCATTGATGTTTTACAGTATCTCCCAGAAGTGAGTCCACCCCTCACATTTTTTTGTAAATATTTTATTCCATCTTTTCATGTGACAACGCTGAAGAAATGACACTTTGCTACAATGTGACGTAGTCAGTGTACAGCTTGTATAACATGTAAATTTGCTGTACCTTCAGAATAACTCAACACACAGCCATTAATGTCTAAACCGCTGACAACAAAAATGAGTCCACCCCTAAGTGACAAGGTCCAAATTGGGCCCAATTAGCCATTTTCCCTCCCCAGTGTCATGTGACTCATTAGTGTTACAAGGTCTCAGGTGTGAATGGGGAGCAGGTGTGTTACATTTAGTGTTATAGCTCTCACTCTCTTATACTGGTCACTGGAAGTTCAACATGGCACCTCATGGCAAAGAACTCTCTGAGGATCTGAAAAAAAGAATTGTTGCTCCACATAAAGATGGCCTAGGCTATAAGAAGATTACATGGTACAAGCCTGTTGTGAATAGCCTTGTACCATGTGACCTCTGTGATCATTCACAGATTTCACACGTAGTAAGCAATGATATTAGGAAGTGACATCTTGCTTACTACTGTTCCTGTGATTGGCCAATCTGTGATCACATGAATCGGGACCTCACACAGAGGTCCCGTACAGTGATCGGTGTCTGGACACAGCGGGCACCGGATCGCGGTGCAGCACGTTCCCAGGGAGCGCGCACAGGCAGTGAATGTGTGGACCGTTTACAAACAGCCACCAGCTCCTGCACTGCTCCCATCCGGGCCATTTATGTACATGGGCTGGACGGGAAGTGGTTAATGTATGTTCATATACACATGTGCACTTATTTGTGTGCATATGCGTGTACTGGTGCAAAATACTGACCGGGAACACAGATTTTTTTCTTCTTTTTTTTTTAACTCAAGAAGACGCAGCGCTTATTTATGCGTCTGTGTGTACAGGCACATTGTAAACAATGGCCTGCATTTTATATCAGTAAAAAAACACTGTACTGAGCTTTATTAAGCTGCACTGTGTAAGAGGACTTGGTCATTTTTCACCTAGTGATCTGGCCAGTAACATCCTTCCTATATTAGAGTGCACCAACTCTGGATGAAGGAGCACAGGGGGCACCTTAGGACAGCATCATTGTCAGTCTGGGGGGAGGGGAGTGTTGGATGTACTAGCAGATTTCATGACACTAACAATTTAAAGCCAAACTCCAGCTAATACTTTATAAACAGTTACAGCAGTTTTTTTCTTTTTATTCTGGGATAATGGCTTTACATAAATGAAAGCTGATCATTGTAAGCACCCCCTGCTAGTGTTAAATGGTTTGTCTCATCTGTGTAACTGATGCATTCTGATGGAGAGATTGTTCTTTTGAAAAACAATTCTCTTTCTTACACAAATGAAATGTATACATTTTTCACACAAATAGAGCTTTCTTTTGGTGGTGTTGGATCACCACTGGTCTTTTTATTTCTTATTATATAAACGAAAAAATACCAAACATTTTGAAACCCCCCCCCCAGTATTTTCTACTTTTTGCTATAAAACATATCCAATCAAAAAAGTGTAAAAAATAAAATTTCTTCATAAATTTAGGGCAAAATGTATTCTGCTACATGTCTTTTGTATTAAAAAAATCCTAGTAAGTGTATATTTGCGTGAAAGTTATAGTGTCTACAAACTATAGTATAGATACTGGAATTTTTAGTTTTTTGTTTTTTTTTAATACTAGTAATGGTGGCGATCAGTGACTTATAGAGAGACTATGATAGTGCGGTGGGGAATCTGACGTTAACTGATGCTGGGGGAGGGGGACTGACTAACTGATACTGACATGCTCAGTGACACTAATACAGTGATCAGTGCTAATAATATACACTGTCACTGTACTGGCTGGGAAGGGGCTAACATTTAGAGGCAATCAGGTGGTTAACTGTGTACCTAACAATGTTTACTAAGCCTGGGTTCACATACATTATATTGCCAAAAGTATTGGTCGGTCGGCCGGCCTTTACACGCACATGAACTTTAATGGCCCCCCAGTCTCAGTCCGTAGGGTTCCATATTGAGTTGGCCCCGCCCTTTGCAGCTATAACAGCTTCAACTCTTCTGGGAAGGCCGTCCACAAGGTTTAGGAGGGTGTCTATGGGAAGGTTGGACCATTCTTCCAGAAGCACATTTGTGAGGTCAGGCACTGATGTCGGGGGAGGAGGTCTGGCTCACAGTCTCCACTCTAATTCATCCCAAAGGTGTTCTATCAGGTTGAGGTCAGGACTCTGTGCAGGCCAGTCAAGTTCCTCCACCCCAAACTGGCTCCTCCATGTCTTTATGGACCTTGCCTTGTGCACTGGTAATTAGTCATGGTGGAACAGGAAGGGGCCATCCCCAAACTGTTCCCTCAAAGTTGGGAGCATGAAATTGTCCAAAATGTCTTGGTATGCTGACACCTTAAGAGTTCCCTTCACTGGAAGTAGGGGTCCAAGCCCAACCCCCGAAAAACAACCCCACACCATAATCCCCCCTCCACCAAACTTTACACTTGGCAGTTGGGCAAGTACTGTTCTCCTGGCAACCGCCAAAACCCAGACACATCCATTGGATTGCCAAAGAAGCGTGACTGGTCACTCCAGAGCACACGTCTCCACTGCTTAGAGTCCAGTGGCGGCGTGCTTTACACCACTGCATCCGACGCTTTGCATGGCACTTGGTGATGTAAGGCTTGGATGCAGCTGCTTGTGCTTTGCAGGGAGAAGAAACAAAGAGATCGTTCCCTCTGTACAGAGCTGTCTTGATTGTCAACACAGGCTCTGGGCTGTGATTGGACACAGCCTATCAGCAGGTCCCGGCCACAAATCAACCACCTGCTGGCAAAATCCAGCATGTCTAATCACAGCGGTAGTCATTGGGCGCAAGTGTGCACGTTCACCCTGAACTCAGGAGAGCCCACCGATGTACAGGTAGGTTGCTGTGCCTGTACTGGCCGCAGTACATTGTGGGCGGGTGGTCCTTAACCCCTTGGCGTCGGCGCCTCCCGGCCCTTCAAGGGGTTTAGGGTCATGTGACTGCCATGACATGCTCAGGAAAGGTCCTGATCGAAAGAGGAGATCGGGACCTTTCTGTGAGTACTGGACATGTATACTGGGAGGCTCTCAGCACGTTTTTTTAAAATAGAATGCAAATGTGCGGCCGCTCGGCGTGTAGACCCAGATGCTTGGAGGGCGCACATTTGCGTTTGGCCAGCACCAAGAGGTTAAACAGTTCTGATCGCCCAATTGAAGGATTGGTGATCAGGTGACCACTGTCACATGATGGGAAGCTGGTCCTGCTGCTCCCGATCTTTAGTCTGGACCGAGATCTGGCTATGACAGCTCAGTCTTCGTGCTGGGAGCGCAGTCTCCGCACATAAACATGGGTGCCCCAGCAACACATGTGCAGCGTGAGGACGTTAAAGCCCATGCTGTATATGTTGGCCCACCATACAGGGGTTAGGAAACATTTGGGCAGTATTTTTAGGATCCATGGCATGCTGGCAATATATACGCACCATGGGACGCCATTACATGTCAGTGCCATTTTTTCAATGGTTTTCCACTCGAATTTTGAGAATTTGCCTCCTCCAGTCAGAGACACGTGAAAACCATGGTAACTGACTGACTGCTGGGGGTATAAGCTTTGTGTCGGGCTGACATGCCGGCCTCCTTCTGCCTTTTATTTTGCACCGTCCATGTGGCAGTCCTAACAATTGTGTCATATCCTTCTGTAATAAAACACGCATGGAGCCTACTCTCTCACATTCATTGTTCTCAAGGCATCACTACAACACAGCCGCCATTTTACTCCTCCCCCTTCGCTCTGCGTCGCGAACATTCCCAGCCTATCACAGCCATTCAGCGTTCCACGCCTCGTTTTGCAATCCCCCAGCAGCCAATGACAGCCCGGTACGTTCCAGACGGTAGGCGGATCCCACCGGCTTCTATATAAAGCTCTGCAAGCGGCGACAGCGTTCTATCCCACCTTGCCGGGCGCTTCCATCCTTTTGCGCCGGAGACTCGTACCACGTGAGTGGGAACAGCAAATCAGCTCGCCCCTCCCTCCTTCCTTCCTCTCCTCCATCGAGCTGCGCAGTGAGGTCGCACGTCGTCTGGCGGACGCCGGTAAGTCTACCATTTCGCCGCGTCTTCTATTTTTATTAAGTTCACGCTGCGTTTTCCTGTGAGCGGGATGTAATCAATCACGGCGGGTGACTTAGCGGGGTTCTCGCTGGAGCGTGGTTGCACCTGAGCGCGGCCGCCATTTTCTCTTTTATTAGGCCGCCATTTTGTTGAGCTGCGCGGCTGGTTGTTGCTCTTTGTAGTGTCCGGTGTCGCTTTCTAGGCCGTGTCGCTGCCTCCGTATTTCCTGCGCAACCAAATGACTCTTCTATCCCTCATTTGATTGATTCGGCGGCGTGCTGAAGATGGCGGCTGTGAATGGCGGAGTACGGGGTTTCCCGGGCCAGGCCGCATGGGCTCCATCATGGCCTTTTGTCCTGATGAATGGGGAAGGGGCCTCCTCACCGCTTCGCCTGTTTTTTTTCTATTTACAATTTTCGTTTTTTTTTTTCTTGCTATAAACTTTATAACAAAATACATTTTTTTTTCGCTTTTAAATCTTAAAATGGAATTTTTTTTCACAGCAGGTTTGAGAAATGTGGAGAATATTTTTTTGGACTTTTTTTGCCTGTCTATACAGAAGCCTAGTGGTAGGGTTGGGCCTGAGGCTTTGTTTCAAGGTGAGCTGGTTGC